ATCACGATCGAGTCCAGGATGTGGCCCCCGGAAAGCAGAATAGCAGCGACCGGCGAGAAGGGCGGCAGGGAAAAGATTTGGAGTCCGCGGCTCCGCGCAACCTCGTAGAATGGCAACAGCACGTCAAGCGTAGGGGGAAGGAGAGAGAGGGGTGCAGACAGCCACAAGACTCACCGGGATCACAGAGCAAGTGCAGTGGGCGAGGGCTCTATCTAGCTCACGCTAATCGAAAAGGCATTATTGAACTCCCACCTTTGTTTTTAGCAAATTTAGCGAATGCTCTGCCATTTCATTATAGGAGAAAGCAGCACAACAGTTCAAAGAAGCATGATCCTAGTTTACATAGATAAGAAAAGAAAAAAAATAGCTTATACTTGCTAGAGTCAGAGCTCGGTTTTTGCGTCAGCCATTGCTTGTTTGAATCAGTTACTACTAATAACTAATTGCATTATTAGTAGGAGTAGCAGCAGCCGCTAAGAGTAATCATTTCAGTTCGGGCACCAATACTTGTTTGAATCAGTTACTACTAATTGTTTGAAATAGGGTGTGATTACACTGCTACTTTCTTCTACAATAGTGTTCATGAGGCGCAACATGCTGCACACCTCGTTGCCATCTTCTACATTCAAACCAACCTACATAACAATGAAAAACCTTCAGAAAAAATTTTAGTAAAAATATATAGGTATGCAACTAAACAGGCAGCATCATGTATCATCAAGTATCAAATTTACAACCATAAGATTTAGTTGTGATAATGCCCACCATTTCCTGGTATAGTAAGTATAAGCATATTTTAACTGAAATATGTACTACAGGCTACCATCTGAGATTTGCTCTATGCATCAATATTCAGGGTAGCACATTTGAACTAAAATATGTGGAAGTCAATCGGCTCGAAAAAGCAATAATGTAGCATGAGTACTAGCATTGGTAGAAGTAATAGTGGTATTACTATTAAAAATGGCTGCAGCAGTATTTTTTTGGGTATCAGTATTAGCAGAAGTAGGCATTTGGGTATGTTTACCGTTAGTGCTAAAATGTTGAAAATATTGTATATTATTGTTAAGAGATGACACCAAGGGTATTAGTCATACTATCACTATTCATCCTTTTTAGCATTGTATTAATATTAGCAGCTGTAGTAGTAGTTTCTGTGATCTTACAAGTAAAATTTAGAAGCTGAAGTATTATTAGATGCAAAAAGTATTAGTTGCACATCAAGCATTGAGAAATGAAATTACTATCCAAAAAAACAGTATTAATGTTAGTGCAATGAGACATCCATACTTGCCAATAGCAGTAGTAGTATTAGTGGTATTACCATTGGTAGTGTCAGTAGTAGTAGAATTAGCAGCAGTCTGTTTTTTTTCTAGCAGTATTATCAGTAGCAGGCTTTCGTGTAAGTTTACCATTAGTACTAAAAATGTGGACTGGTAGGAAAAATGGATTTTATTGACAATAGATGCAGGCAACTGTTATAGTAGTACTAAGAACTAATCAGCAATACCAAAATCAAGAGATCCGCCGCCAAGCCTGTTGTGGAACCCGTCAAAAGCACAAGACTTCGGGGATCCACTTAAGCAGTATGATGCTCCTATTTACCTACTATAGGCAGCCTGTGCTGATTCCTGCACATAACCATGCATGTCAATGAGATAAAAAAAAATACATATTAACTTGAGAAATCTAGAACTATAAACTACCCGTTGAGCATAAAGAAGAAACTCTGCTTGTCACTCTGTGTCACCAAACTGAATGCCTGTGTTAGTATCTGAAACTAAATTAGCATTTATTTTTGTTATTTCCTGAAACTAAGCAAGCAATCCTTGTGTCCAATTATTCTCTATACTTAGTCCCTAGAGAGTAAAGATCATTTAGATTTCCACTGCTGCATTTCATAGTGGAAGGCTTTTGCAGACTCATAAGAGTAAATTTCAATCCATGTGGACAAGAACTGGATAGAGGATAATTTAATCCACCAGCAACCATATAAGAGGACTTAGATCACAGGATCGGTAGAAAACAAAGGGACAAAAAGAGACCGGTGCCAGAATCATGCCAATCGATTATAGTAAAACCACCACTAATGGACACCCAGAATATTCCAAGGATCGCTACATCTTTGGATGAAGAACTCTTGAGCACACGACCACGCACCGGAGCACAGGACCTAGCGAAGCAACGCACCATGACAACGGTGTGACAAACAGATAAAAAGCAGGTGCAACGGGCATGGAATAAAGAAGAGAATGCAAGACAACACCTGAATCATGACATCCATCGGTTTGGCTGGCAAATAAGCAGAGAGCAGTGATGCTATTAAATCTAAACTATAAACTACCCGTTGCTGCATCTGCCAAATGACAGGCATTGATATTCTTTTGGTTATACAATGCCTTGTTTGTTCAGCCCGCCTGCAGCATCAAGCATAGAAAGATACATACTGCATATGACCAAACTGGACTACAGTTACAAGCCTACAAGCGCAAGCCTATAATGGTCACAGAGATCAGAGTTCCTGGAACTACTCTCCCTGTAGCAGTCTTAAGTGCACACATATATTCCATTCGTAGGCATAATACTTGCATACACTTGCAATTAGATCAGATCAGACTCGAATACCAAATGCTCGGGTCCACAAAGGATGAGCATACCTGTTGGGTTCTCATCGTAGGTGAAGGGCCTGATGATCTAGCGAAGTGACTGACGAAGACAGGAGCTCTTGGCGTGCGACGGCGGTGGCGCGAAGCGGCAGCGGCGGAGACCTGAGCGCCTAGCACGACAGGGCAGGGGCGGTCCGGCGGTGTCAGTGTGAGGGAGAGGAGACGCGTCACGCTGTTGACATTAGATCAGATCTGAGTACACCAGATAGCTTAAGTTAGGGTTTGGGTCCTCAGCTTCGCACAGAAGGGAGAGCAGGGAAGGGGTGGGCGTACCTGTTGGGTGCTCGTCGCCGGCGAAGGGTCCGGCGAAGACATGGTGAAGGGCCTGACGAAAACCTGGGCACCTGGCATAGGGCTGCCGCGATGGTGTACGGTCGCCACAAGAGAGAGTGTGCGCGGGCCCTGCACCCTGGTGGCCGGCGGCGCGAGGCCTGTATTGCCGTGCTGGCGGCGGGCGGCCTGGCGTCCTTGGCCGACGCCCTCGCCTGGTGGGCTGGTGCCTCGTCAATGGGGGAGAGATTGAGGAGGAGGAGTCACGCGCGTGGGAGAGGAGGCGTCGGGGGAGTGGGGGAGTCGCGCGCGTGGTGGGAAGCGTCGGGGGCAGGGACCAGGGGGCGAGGTTGGAGAGCGGGCGCTCGATGGGATTGCGAGCGGGCGCGATGGGGAGCGAGATGGGGGCGCGATGGCCGCAGGAGAAGGTCGATGGCGGAGGGATCGATTGCCGCAGGAGATGGGGGCGCGATTGCCGCATGCCGCGCGTCGGATCTTATGGAGGCAGGACGACAAAGCTAAGTTGATTGTCGCGGTGTCCACTTTTTAGTCTTTTAGCTATGAGATGAGACGAGAGAAGATAAGAAGATTTGGACCAACCTCACTTAGCTTCGCTCATAAATAAATATAAATACAACATCCATGTAGGGCGTGGAGCTATTTTGAGATAAAATTAGGTCATAGCCCCTCCTGCTCATTATGTTCTCCATTGTCCAAATAGTAATTTTGGTACTGGTCATGGGTGATTAATGTTCAATTATACAAACCGGCACCTCTTGTATCTTTGGTCAAGCTCCACTGCACCATTGCATCCGTGTCTAGCACCGAGTAGGCTAGTGGAAGGGTTGGGTTGTAGGCACAGCATCTTGGTAGGTTGCCTGTTGCTGCGAGCGCCCGGGATAGTCTCGGTCGGAGGAGGCAGAACTCTAAAATGGAGGGATTAGCGTTACCGACGAGTAAGGTGGGGCGGAGCATCGCATTATTGCTTGATTTGTTGTCGGGTACTCTTTTTTGTTTTATAAAATTATAAGATGTTTTAGATTTTACAAAAAATATTTAGACATAATATATAGCAAAAGTTATGTATTTATAAAAGTAAAATATGTCTTATGATTTGCAATGGTACATTTCAGGAAAAAAGGAAAAAAAACTACGCAGAGGAAGAAAATACAAATCACGAACGATGCATGAAACTAAAATTGTTCATTTTTGTCAAGTTGTCAAAACATACAATAACCAAAGCGGTAGTCTGGATGTCACGAGCCCATTCCGCCTCGCTGCTGCCGCACCGCTCGCTCGCTCCAGCCCGTCGTGTGGGTCAGCTGCCCGACTGAGCCAAAGTCGATGCTGGTGTCGTTGGTGGTGGTGCTCACGCGGCGCCGCTGGCATTGGTGCTGGTGGTGCTCGCTCCGCTCGTCACACGCGTCGCTTGCTCCTCCCGTTGCGCACGCCACCCGCCCGACCGAGCCAAGCCCGTTGCTCGCGCGCCGCCGGTTGCCGCCGGCTCCGCCTCCGATGGTTGGAATCAACCGGCCCTAGCCTTTCCTATGTTGTAGTTTCAGATGTTTCATAGGTATGTTGCAAGTGTTTCATATGGATGTTGCAAAAGTAGATTGGATGTTACATATGTTGCAATGGTTGTACACGTATGTTGCAAGTTTGTTTCCAATGTTTCATTTGTTTTTTTATACGTATTTTTACAAGTGTGTTTATCTCGATGTTACATATGTTTCACGCATATGTTGCAAGTGTTTTATTTAGATGTTGGTTATGTTTACAATGGTTTCAAGTGTTTTTTCGGGTGTTTTTTCAAATGTTTTAAATGCATATTTCAAGTGTTTCATCTGTCTTTCAGACGTATGTTGAAAGTGTTGTATCTAAATGTTTTAAAAGTAGATGCTAGCGGGGCAAGTGGCTGTGGGCGCCCTGATCGGCGCCAAGTTCGGGTGGAGCGGTGTGGCGACGATCCCGACGAGGTATGCGGCGGCGGTGGTGATGTGCGCCTACGTGGCCGGGTTCGCCTAGTCGTGGGGCCCGCTGGGGTGGCTGGTGCCGAGCGAGGTGATGCCGCTGGAGGTGTGGCCGGCGGGGCAGAGCATCACCGTCGCCGTCAACATGCTCATGACATTCGCCGTGGCGCAGGCTTTCCTGCCCATGCTGTGCCGCCTCAAGTTCGTGCTCTTCTTCTTCGCCGCCTGCGTCGTCGTCATGACGCTCTTCGTCGCTTTCTTCCTGCCGGAGACCAAGGGCGTGCCCATCGAGGACATGGCCGGCGTCTGGAAGGCGCACTGGAACTGGAAGCGGTTCGTCGACGACAGCGATGGCGCCGATGCACTCAGAGACATCGAGATGGGCTGCGCCGGCGAGGCAAAAAAAACTAGTTTAGCTTAGCTAGGATTTTAGTTAGTTATTACGTGTGTTCACCGACAGTAGTAGACTACCAGATAGTTATGTCAATAGTTTATATAATTCATTCATGCTAATGTTTATTACTGCACGTTCGATGTTCCTTTAACTTTTATATAGATAGATAGATTATAGCATTAGCATGAATACAAATTACGGCTTTCAAAATGATCCACACTCACTGCCCTCATAGAGCTTCTTTCACACTCCAGTCTCTAAAGCCGTCAGCAACCTTACTTTATGTACTAGTAGCTTGGACAACCAATGCGATTTTCCTTTTCTTCTTCTCCATCTGGCATGTCTCTAGCCAGCTTTACGTTAAAAAAACATGATTTATTTTTCTCTCAAAAAAAATACGAGTACCAACTACAGCGCCTTTCAATGGAAGCTGCACTGGAGGATGATCCAAAGTGGGTATGTACTGCGTCCAAAATTAGTATACTTCTAGTTACAGTGAGTGCTAAGTCAAACATATAATTTTTAGTCAACAAATAAAGATCATTCGATTTATCATGTAAAATATTTTCACAGTAATACTTATTTGACAATTATTTGACAATTATGCATCCAAAGAACAACTCGGAGATACTTTCTTGTACTTCATAGAACAAGCAAGTTGCATCGTAGCTTTACTAAATTGTCTCTGGCAAGGAGTTTGTTCTTCGTACTTTTCCATTCCAAATTATAAGGCGTTTTGACTTTTCTACTAATATTGTTTTTATTATACATTTAGTTATATATTATATCTAGATAGATGTATAATAAAAACAATACATCTAGAAAAGTAAAAACGTCTTATAATTTGAAACGAGTGATACCAGTAGCCAAAGAACAACATGAACCCATGATGGAATGCAGAGCTTAAACATTGCCATGGTAAGTGACAACGAAATAAATTCATGCTGAGACGAACTTGTCATTCGGACTGAGAATGGTTTGCAAAGATGAGTAATATTTAGCTTGTGTAAATATTTATCTACATGGGTATTGAAAATGGAAAAGAAAAAGGTGTGCAAAAATGAGTAATGCTTAAGACTGAGATTTTAGCACGTGTGGAAGTATGGGTCGGTGGACCAGTGTTAAATAGTTTTTGACCGCCAGCTTAGTTTTAGAGAAAAACTAGATGGCAACTGGTTGTTTTTAGCCCTCAACAACCGATTTTCTCGCCGTTGGATCACCATCGTGGGAGGGCCACCTCGGCACGGATGAGGCGCGGCTGCCGCTCCTCGCGGAGACTACGCGCTGCTCCATTAGTCCGCTGCCGCCTTTGTCTCTGTCGTCGCCACGCCTGCGCTGGCCCCGGCGTCGTCCTAGTGGAGCTCCGGGAGCGCCTTCACTACCACTTTAAATGCGGCCTCCTCCACCGCCACAGCGTCGAGCTCCTCCTCTCAGCTGCTGACCGCCGCCGAAGCCGCCAGCGGGACGCAGAGGGACACGTGGGTCCACCGCGCCAAGGAGGGGTACTACTTCCAGCTCTCCCTCGCCATCCGCCTCACCTTGCAGGCCTTCCTCGCCGTCACCCCTTCTGTACCCGATCTCCTCTTCAGCTGGAAGCGAAGGGAAAAGGTTGGGGATAGTGGGTCCTACTGCAATTTATGAAGAATTTGATATATATTTCTCTAATATCTGCAATTCATAGAAATAATTTATAAGTTTTTTTGATAAATTTGACATATATTTCTCTGGGATCTGCAATCTAAAAATAGAAGTTGTGTTATCCCCAAATTACATCACTCTGTCCAATAAATTAAACTGAAGAAATCATTGTAAATATGATAATATGACAGTATAAATATAGTTAGAAGACAGTGTAAATACATGGACAAAAATCAGTTGTTGAGAGGGGCCAAAACATCCAGGTGTTGCCTAGATATATCCTAGTTTTATATACGTCGATATTAATTCAGACTATTGGAAATTCTCTTGCATTTTTTTCCTTCAAACTCAAAAGGAAACTTTGCTTCTTATATTTCTCTCTTTTTTGGACAAATCAAATGATATATTTTTTTGGTCTATTGTCTTCGCTGCTTATCCGTAACTAAAACCATTTTTTTGCCATAATATTCCATTCATATTATTACTAAGCATATATGGTTCTAGTCCTAGTTAGAAAAATCAAGTAACAAACGAAGAAGGAATATTACTTTACTTTTTCTTGAAAACATGAGAACAAGGATTTTATCTTAAATAATTTTTTTAGAATGATTTATGACAACCATTTCGCGGTAAGATTGTCAGCCCAGGCCATGCGTGGGATCGTGTGCAGTAGTCTGTTCATTCCGTAAGAAATCACGATTATAACCATGAAATATAATTCCAAACACTATCTTGCTCAGTATCTTCCCATTATTACACACGGTCATTTTAGTGGCACGGCCATAGATGGTCTGTACCGTTAAGCGGGTTTTGAAGTACGATACTGCTTCCCGTACGGAGTCCGTTCATCCGGAGGACTCCCGCCGCCTGCTCCGATTCGCCCCACCTGCCGTGACCGTCTCCATCCGCCTACCGTTGTCGCCTCCACCGCGCCGCCCGCCCAGACTCGCCAGCCTGCTGCGGGCGCCTCCATCCGCCTTCAGTGGGTGTCTCCACCGTGCTAGTTTGTCGCGTTGCCCACCTAGACTCACCCCGCCCGCTGCAGTTGCCTCCATCCGCCTGCCGTGGCTGCCTCCACCTCGCGCCAATTCGCCGTGCTGCCTACCCGGATTCGCTCGAGCAGCAAGGCGATGTTGCGCTAAAAGTACATGTTACAAACGTATGTTTCAAGTATTTTACATATTTCAGAGATATGTTGCAAGTGTTTTATATAAACGTTGTAAAAGTAGATTAAGATGTTATATATGTTACCATGGCTATACACGTATATGTTGCAAGTGACTGTTCAAAATGTTTGCTTTATTGTTGGAAGTGTTTGATCTAAATGTTGCATATGTTATAGTGGTTATACACATATGTTGTAAGTGTATGATCTATATATTTCAGTTGTTTAGACATGTGTTACAAGTGTTTCATGTTTCAAGCTTATACTCTTGATTAGATGGTCGGAGTCACGCGGGGCATGTGGATTCCCGTGTGCACGAGCGAAACAGAGAAAGCGCGGGCAGTCCCCACGCGTTCGCGTGCGAAATGGAGTGGGCGCGGGCGACCGTCCAGACGTCCGGGCGAGCTCTACCATTTGAAATAGTACGGGTGTAGGCACGAAGTTCGAACTCATGGCCTCAGGTTTCCTACACTACGTCCTTATTATACTTCTTTATCAATGCATCTCAAAACTATTAAATGGCCTTTATTAGATAATGGATAGTTTATACCTGGCTTCATCTATCAATTGATAGAATCAGGCCAATTATTACAACGTCTCGCCCAAATACACACACTTCAAAACACAACACCTTTGCCGCCCGCCACACCATAAGTATTTGGCATAAGCACAATCTAAAAAGAGATCTTGTATGGTCTCCAGATAGCGACAGAAGCAGCACTGCCTGTCCCCATTCCAGTTACGCCTAACTAAGTTGTCCTTAGTTAACATTACACCTTTTTTAGGTACCACAAAAATATTTTTATTTTTGTAGGTACTTTAATTTGCCATAAATCTTGTGACACTCTAACCCCATTGTTAATTAACGCAGCATACATGGACTTGACTGTAAAGTTCCCAGATGCATTTAGACTCCAAACAAAGACATCCCTTTGCTCAAGTAGGTTAATATCTTGTAAAGAAGTAACAATTCTATGCCAAGCCATTAAGTTCGCCCCCACTAAATTTCGTCGAAAGAAAATATTTAGTGGGATTGTACTAAGAACCTGTGCCACAGAGTCTTGTTTTCTTCTTACTATATTAAACAACTAGGGGAATTTGTCTTTGAGAGGTTTATTTCCCAACCAAGTATCTATCCAGAACCTAGTTTGAGACCCATCTAACACTTTGAACGAGCCAAAGTCCATAAAGACATCCTTGACATTCATTAAACTTTTTCAAAAATGAGAATCTGTTGGTTTCTTAACACAACTCCCTAGAGTCTTATCTTTTATGTATTTGTTCCTTAATAGTTCCTGCCACGTACCATCTTCATTTAAAAGTTTGAAAAGCCATTTACTTAATAAACATTTGTTTTGTATATCCAAGTTTTGTATGCCTAAACCACCCTGGTCTTTAGGTTGACATAATATCTCCCATTTGGCCGATCTATATTTCCTTTTGTGCTGGTCATTTTGCCAGTAAAAACGTGATCTAAAGCAGTCTATTTTTCTAACACGCCTTTCGGCAGTTCGAAAAAAGACATCATGAACATCGGTAAGCTAGATAGCATCGAGTTTATCAAAACCATTCGGCCCCCACCGAAAGCATTTTTCCTTTCCATCCACTAAGTCTCTTTTCAATTCTCTCCTCAATTACCTTCCAATCTTTGTTGTTTAGCTTCCTTGTATTCATGGGAAGACCAAGGTAGCGAAAGGGGTATTTTCCAATAACACATCCAAACAGCTACGAATAAAACTCTTCATGATCTTTTGCTTTGCCAAAACAAAAGATTACACTTTTGTGGAAGTTAATCTTAAGCCCCGATAGTTGTTCAAAGGTGGTAAGCAAAAGCTTCATATTTACCGCCTTTTCGACATCGTGGCTCATAAAAATTACTATGTCATCCGTGTATTGGAGGATAGACAATCCATCCTGGATTAGATTAGGAATAACCCCTTCGACCTGGGCTGTTTCCTTTGCTTTGGCAGTCATTATGGCGAGCATATCGACCACTATATTAAATAGTATGGGCGACATGGGTCACCTTGCCTTAAGCCTTTTCTAGTTTGGAAGTAGGACCCTAACTGATCATTCACCTTAATATTAACATTACCCGCTTGTGTGAATTTTTGCACCCATTCACACCATTGGTGTGAGAACCCTTTCATTCTCAACGTTTGTTGTAAGAAACTCCAATTTACCTTATCATATGCTTTTTCAAAATCAATTTTAAAAATGACCC